TGTTGGAACAGTGGGAAATATTTCCTGTAAAACATCCCATCCGGGGCCAGTGACTTCAGGTGAGGCAGAGACCGATCCCAGGGGAACGAGCCGAACACTGCAGAACCGGGGACTGCTCATTTCCCATGGGAATCATTCGCTCTCCTGTAATATCCCCTGGCAGCTCTCGGTCCCTCCCCATGCGTGGAGCTGACAGCACAGCCAGGGCTGAGATGGATCAATGGGATCACAGAGGCCAGATGCTGCTCAGAGTTAAATATGGAGCCTCTCCAGTGGAGTCAGGAGTTATTTTGGGTTTACACTGGTGTAACTGAGAGCAGGATCTGGCTCAGAGATTCCAGATTCTGCCTCTAGAATACTTCCTGCCACTTCCAGGCTGTAAGAAATCCCCCCCACCCCCGAAACTTCCCTAGGGGGTAGGGAGGAATATGTAGGGACATTTGTTTCCCCCCTACAAAAACCACTGAAGAGTCCAACCCTCTCCCTTCCTCGTTCCTTGGATCAGTAACTAGACCAGACCAAACTCTTCTGTCTTCACTTGGCAAAACTCCTACTGACGTCCATGGGAGCTGTGCCCGAGTAAAGGCTGTAGGCCTGGGGATACAGCAGAGGGATTAATCCCGGGACTGACCACAGCAGATGAGCCAAGTGAGACATAACTGGGTCTTTCCTTGTGTTTTATGGGCCACGTTCTCCTCCCTGCTTCACTGAAATCAATGGGGTGGCAGAGGTGAGAGGAGAATGGGGCCCTGTGGTTCTGGGAGGTACCCACCAGGATTATGGCACAGACTGGACCCAGGAAGCTCCAACGAAAGCCTCTGTCCAGGCTTAGCCAGCAGCTAGCGGGAGGGAGGAAGAAGAAGGTGACGTTAATGGGATTACTGCCCTTTTTCAGCCGCGGGGGCAGAGAGGGGGTGTCACAGGGCAGCTGGCTCTCAAAAGCGAGATGGATCTCAGCCTGCCTGGGACATGGCCAACTCTATTGCGAGTAGCAGGCTAATGGCCCTCCCCATCTACCTCAGCATCTCCTGCTTTCAGCCCCCACTTCCTCTTCCACCTCCTCAAATGACCCTTTCTTGTGGATGGGCGCAGTATTGCTGGAGGGCCAGACATGCAGCGGATGGACATTGGCCTCGCTGCACTGAAGGAAGTGGAGCTTCCCTGATTTACACCAGCTGAGGATCTAGCCTGGGGTGTCTAGAACACGCCACACCCTATTTTAGTGAGTCGCTCACTTTAGAGAGGGGATCCTCAGGGATTTGCACACAGGAAGAAGGTCCATTTGTTTCCTATGCACCAGCCCCACATACCCAGCCTAGGAGCTGGGAGTCCAGCTGGGATCTTTCTGGCTTGTTCTTCCACATCATCAGTGGGGTGAGGAGTGTAGATGTCTGACAGGTGGGCAGCTCAACTACAGCACTCGGGGCAGCTTAGTGTGACTGGGGATGGGAAGGATCCTGGGGGGACATTCAGCTCCCAGGCAGGGTGAGCAGGGAAATCTTGGTTCAAGTCAGACCTGGGGTGAGCAAAGCAGCAGCC